ATATCAAATTTAAATGATTTTTATTTTAATGCTTGTAGGGATTTCTTTTTTTAAAACCTCTATTATTATTTTTTTATTGACAAAATATTTATTTTACTGTAATTTTTAAAAATGTGCATTTTTCTCCATTAGTCTGCCTTCTGGGTCAACATCCACATTCTCTGTTCTCCAGAGCACAGAACTGATGCTTGGTTCTGGACCCCCTCCTCTGCGCAGTCAGACCTGGGCTCGGTCCGCTCTTCCTCTTCTAACACGAATGAACGCACGCGTTCAGAGAGCTCCAACAGCACGTCCACATCTCCAGAGAAAAGCTTCACTGATGTCCTGGACTCTATCCACAAGAAGCTAACCAGTTTAGATGCCCAACTGGCCCTGGTGGAGGTTCAAGGAGTTCCAAGCACTGAGGGAGTCTCTGGAGTTCAGCCAAGCTCAGGAAGCATTGCTCGCTGCTGAGAACCAAACTCTGAGGGAAAATGTCAAACAACTCACGAAGGGGATGACGAAGCTGTCCGGAGAGAACAGAAAAATGAAGGAGTCCATTCTTAACATTTAAGCTCGGAGAAAGCAAGACAATCTTGTCTTCTCAGGGATCCCAGAACGAGCAGAGGAGGACGCTGAAGTTACAATCCGTGAGTTTATCCAACATCAGCTGAAACTCCCAAGTGAGACGGTAAAAAACATCACTTTCCATCGCGTTCACCGGCTCAGAGGTAAGAAGCCCTATAACAAGCGACCTCTGCCAATTATTGCTAAATTTGAGCACTACAAACAAAAAAAGCAGGTCAGAGGTCGGGGCAGAGAGCTGTGTGGGACGGATTTCAGTGTGAACGATCAATTTCTGCTTGTATTTTATTTTTGTTATTTTTACAATGGTTTGTGCAGTGTGCCGAGTCATATTTTCAGTATGATCGTCGGGCACTTTTGGAGCTCCGTACTTTTGCTGAAATTCCCGCGGAGTTTTTGAACAGCGGTCAGCACTCTCCCCCACCGGTCCTATCTGAGATTCCTGCGTTCCTTCTGCGTGACCCTGGCCTTTCTCCATGGAGGAAACGTCGCAGACGTCGTGGGAAGCGTGCAGGGATTTTGGTGAAACTGAGGCAAAGTGTGGATTATTCTAACAGGACTCGCTCTGGATCTGATCATCTCCTCTCTGACCCGTGGTGCTCCCGGGGCCCGGCTGCTGGCCAGCTGCCCGTGCGCTCAGTCCATGGAAACACCTGGAGTTGTTTACCTGTGCGCCGCACCAGCAGACCAGGAGGAGCTGTTCTTCATAACCTGCGCCCGCTGGCGTGCGCGTCTCCCTCCACGGCTGTGCCTGTGTCGGACAATATCAAGATGTGTTTAATCAACGCAAGGTCTGTTTCCAACAAGACATTTATCCTCAATGACTTTTTTAAAGATGAGGAGTTGGATTTTCTGTTCGTCACAGAATCATGGATTTCTGATGGTGAATCCAGCGCCCTGGTGGAACTACTTCCTCCGGACTGTGTATGTTTCAATGCCCCGCGGCCATCAGGTCGGCGCGGGGGGGGGATTATTAACAGTTTTTAAAGCAAACTTTGCGTGTAAACAGTTGTCCATCCCGGTGTCCCGCGCCAGCTTCGAGCTGAGCGCCTTTGAACTTGGACACTCTCCTCCGGTCCTGTGTGCGCTCATCTACCGCCCCCCTCGTTCTAAGGACTTCATAAATGAATTCTCTGACTTTTTGGCTGATATCACACAGAGATACACTCACTTTTTGTTTATTGGTGACTTTAATTTGCATGTGTGTTGTCAGGAGAAGCCCTTAGTGAAGGACTTTCTGGATTTATTGGACTCTTTTGGCTTAGCTCAGCAGGTGAGCGGCCCCACCCAAGAACATGGTCACACGCTGGACCTCGTTTTAACACGCGATGTCTCTGTTTCTAATTTGAAAATCGGTGACAATGTTTTTTCAGATCACATGCCTGTATTGTTTGACTTCACCCCCCCTTGTCATACTGCTAAGACGCGCGTTCCTGCACGTACGCGTTCCATTAACCGTTTCACTGCTGCTCGTTTTAATGAAGGTTTTAATTCTGAGAGGATCGAACAGCTCTCGGTGTCTCTTACCACTGAGGAGCTAACCTCTCAGTTCAACTCTGCCTGTTTAAATGTTCTGGACCGTGTTGCTCCCCTTAAGACCAGAAAAACGAAACTTAAATCAGAGCCTTGGCTGAATGACGTCACGCGAGCTGTTAGGCGGCAGTGTCGCAAAGCTGAACGAAAGTGGAGGAAGGACAGGCTCCAGGTGTCTTTTCAAATGTTAAGGGAGAGTTGGCGTCACTATCAGAAAACCGTTAGTTGCCAAATGTAAATTCTTTTCAGATTTAATTGTCTCCAACTCCCACAACCCCCGAGTTCTTTTCTCCACCCTGAACTCAGTTCTACACCTCAGTGAGCCTTCACCTCTGGAAGCCTCAACTGAGCTGTGTGAAAACTTCCTCCATTTCTTTTTAGAAAAAGTGGCAAACACCCGGGCACTCATTTCTCCACCAGCTCATGATCTGTCCATCCCTTCTCAGTGTGTGGCTGTGTTTGACCACTTTGAGCCCATCTCTCTGTCCTCTCTGGAGCAGGTAATGTGCAGCATGAAGCCATCTGGTTCCCCCTTTGATGTGGTCCCCCCTCGACTGCTAAAGGAAGTTTTTCCTACCCTGGGTCCTTTTATCCTCGCTATTCTGAATAGCAGTTTATCCTCAGGTGTGGTGCCAAAGACTTTTAAACATGCTGCTGTCCAGCCCCTCCTGAAAAAACCTAACCTTGACCCCTCAGTCATGTCCAACTTCCGGCCTGTCTCCAGACTCCCATTCACCTCTAAACTACTGGAAAAAATTGTGGAGTCTCAGTTGAAACAGTTTTTGGGGGATCACGCTATCCTTGAGTTATTCCAATCTGGCTTCAAATCTCTCCATAGCACTGAAACTGCTCTACTGAAGGTTTTTAATGACATTTTCATATCCACAGACGCAGGTGATTCTGTGCTGCTTGTCCTATTGGACCTTACATCTGCTTTTGACACCATCGACCACAATATCCTCATTTCTAGACTGGAGCAGTGGGTGGGCATCACAGGGTCAGCCCTTAAATGGTTTGGGTCCTACCTCTCTGACAGAACCTTCTGTGTCAATATCAAAGATTTTAGTTCGGCATCGACCACACTCCAGTGGGGGGTACCGCAGGGGTCCATCCTCGGTCCCCTTCTCTTTTCTTTATACCTGCTGCCACTAGGTGCTATCTTCCGCAAACACGACATACCCTTTCATTTCTATGCCGATGATTGCCAAATTTACTTCCCCCTGAGGCACAGAGGCACACGCTCTATTCAGCCTCTTCTTGACTGCCTGGCTGACATC